ACTGCTCCTCCCGCCTGCTCCAGAGAGAACACCCAGCACCGGCACAGGCGGGGAAGACAGAGGGGCAGGGAGTATGCAGAAGCATTCCGAGCGGGTCTTTCACCATCACAGGTCCTTTCTTTGAGATCTTGGTCATCATGTACAGGTTTCTTTTTTTATGTGTCCACTTTGATGGCTCACATACCTCCTAAGCTCAACTTCCCTCTTCCACCTGGTCATCTCTGAACTAGGAAGCACAAGCATCCCATGTGCTGCTTGAACTAGAATGCTGAGAATAACCTTCTGTGATGTTGGCACTGTTATTTGTGTCCAGACAAGTCATCATCCCATCTCTCTTTATAGCTATACTCTCCAGACCTTGTAAATGGATGTCACCTGCCATGTGGACTATTGTTGTAGCTTTCAACAGACTTGCTTCTCAGCACTCTGACCTCTTTACTTATGCATTTAGGAGAACAATCTTTTCAAAGATGAGGAGGTCATATACTTAGAGAATCCTGATTTTTTTTTTATCTTTCATAGTAAAGATGGGCTAACTCCTTGGCTGAACTCAGAAGTCCCACAGGGTTCAGTTTTAAGTTACCTGAGCTCTCTTTTGCTTGCACTGGCCATTGTTTTATATTATGAAAAATCATTCTGTCTACTCAGTTCAGGGCCTCATCTATTCCTGCTTTTTGTGGCTTCTTTACTGTGGCATCACATTCTCAGGAAAGTGTCATCTGATCTTCATGACCAGACATGTTTTATATCCCTCTTGTTTATGATGTTTAACATGATTATGTTTTTATCTTTCTTCATGACACTTTTTGATAGTGTCTGTCTCATAATAAACTGCAAATTAGGTGTGGCTGTACCTTTGGGAGACAATGCTGCAACTAGGATTTCATATACACATGTTCAATAGCCAAGGGATGAACGACGTTTACCCTTAAGGCCTCTGAGCCCAGCTCTGTGACTATAGAAAAATGCCTGGAACAGCATGTGCCTCATTTTGTAGAAGAGTTACCTGTGTGATGTGTACAAGCTTGTTACAACATAGTTGCTAATAACCCTGATTAAACCCTAGTATGCTTGAGAAGACAGAGCCACAGAAATTGAAGTCAAATGAACTAGAGATTTGTTAGACAATTCATCACTTGACTAATATGACTGCAGGAAGAAAGCATTCCAGAACAATCTCTCCTCTTAATATTTCTTACAATGCAACACCTGGCTCCTCCATACTCACACATCAACACTGTAGGACACAAAAATGACAGGGTGACTTTTATTAACTATGCCACATTTGCTCTCTAATATAGAGTTTGTATTTGAATGCTTTCTTCCCTAAAGAAGTGGCTGTTTTAAATTATGATGACTAAACACAGAATACAGATACTCCCAAAACCACAGTAAGGGAACAAGCTGGGAACTGCATTATTTTATCTTCAGAATGGCCAGAAATGTTTCAATCTTCCCTCTTTTGAAGACTTCATAGAGAAATACTATGTGGTTTTCTCTTGCAAAAGAGAAAGGGAAAAGAAATTAAGAAGAAATAAAAAAGAAGGAAAGAAAGAAAGAAAGAAAGATAGATAGATAGAAAAACCCATAGCCTTTTCTTCTGAATTTCACAACTCTATCACAATTCCTAAGAAGAAAAGAAATTGTTTTCTGGTTTTGATGTTCAAATGTCAAGACAATAAATTTCTTCCATTACAAAATGATGACTGCCTGGAAAATAACTGTTCTATTAATATAGGATTTTTTGAGCCTTTGGACAGTTCATTTGAATGGCCACAAGAGAGCAGTAAGAAATTAAAGCTTGGTCAATGACTCACAGTCACACTAATGTGGGCTTTTTGCTATTAGGAAAATTTGAAAGCCAGATTGACTGACTCTGTTCAGAGAGACAGTCCAGGACTTCATTTGTTCATGTTAAAGCTATTTAGTCAAGAAGGGCAATGTTGACACCATCAGTTGATTACCAGGAAAGAACCTTGAGTTAGAGCTCCCAAGAAACCCAAGTTCACGTGTGAAAATGGAAAAATATTCTCACCTAGAACACAGGGAAGTCTTGAGAAGTTACTGGCCTGTACCTGTGGAATATGCAAGATGGAAAGGTATGTGGAGACCTGGGCATCTTTTAGAGCATGTCAGCCACCAGGAAGATTTTCAAGTTCTAATTCTACTCTTTCTTCTTCTAGTCTAACTACTGTATGAAATGGTATATGAGGAGACTGTAGTTTTTACTTAAATCACCTTCCCTAATTTCTACATATTCTGCCCTCTTTGCTCATACTAACTTGCCAGGTTTGACACAGTATCTTGGACACCATAATTTTAAAAGTGAATTGAAAAAACACATATTCACAAATGACTAACAACAGCATATATGAGATGCTGTTGCTATGAATCATTTCAAGAAAAGCCTAACAACTTATAAAACATAAAATAAAATTACTCCAAGCTCATCTAAAGCAGAGTAACAATCAGTATGCATGTCGTAATTAATCATGCTTAAACATTAAACAGCAAAATGCAAGTTAAGATGGCAAGTTTTGTGTGAGCAAATAAGCATAGACTGGAAACAACCATGATGCTTTGTATTAACAGAAAGATAGCACACAAACACAGAGCAGATGTAGAAACATCCATCTGAAAGACAATTAGAAAAATGATGTAGGATAGCAAATTTTACAATGTGAATTTCCTTTAACTTGATTATTTTCTCATTGGGAATTAATGCTATGGAAATAATAAAAATAAATTTAAAGGATTCAATACAAAAAGGAATTATAAAGTAAAAACTATGTCTAAAATGAAAAAGATGGTAAAAAACAAAGATATGGGGATAAAGTTGGACTTTGATGAAAGACACTGAAAATAATATAATCATATATGTGCTGGCACTGAAAACATGGGATGCATTTTGATTCATCGTAAGATTAAAATCATCCTAAGTGATTCAACATAGAGGAAGAACCTGTGGTTGGTTGCATAGGAAAATATCTGTATATAATTTTCAAAGTAGCAATTACTTCTGGGTATGAGCCTTAAAATGATGTGTGTGTGTGTGTGTGTGTGTGTGTGTGTGTGTGTGTGTGTGTGTGTTTATGTGTTTCGTTTTCTTGTAGAAGTTGAGATTTTTGTTTCCTTGCTTTCTTTGTTTTTAAAACAATATGTTACTTTCAATTTCAATAAAAACACACAAAAAATAATTTCTATCTTCTAGAAAATCCTCAGAGAATCTTAAAAGTTAGTTTAGCAAATTCAGGAAAAGGTTGAAATTTGATCTCCACATGTCAAGTGACAGTAAAAACATATTAATAAAGTACAGCACATGTACTGTATAGTTTCTTAATATTATGAAAGAAAAATACTTATTGAAATTTTTCCAGAGTAACTATTGATGATATCTACAGTCAACCATGTAGGCTATTTTTGAAATCAGTTCAAACAGACTTTTATACTTTTAAATGTAAAAGCTTTTGCTTTTCCAAAGAAGCAAGCTCTTTCTTACCATTTTATTCATGAACAAGCCAGTGACCTGGCAGCTAACCCATTTCATTATTTTCTAGATGTTTTAACTGACCATATTCTCACTAATTTTCAGTTCTATATTTAAGCTATTACTAATACAATGAAATACATTTCAAAAGGGACTTTACTTAATGTGACCTCTGTCTAGCTGAGCATAGCTTCCCTCCTCATGAGTCAGAATTTAGAGAAGGGCTAATCATTTCATATTTTGAAAAAAAATATGCTTCTCAACATAACACATAAGCAGTTATTATTTTTAACCAAGTTTGAATTATCCATATAATTTTTTAAAATAATGAATTATCATGTATTTCTTATGAAGCCACTAATATATCAGATTTAAGCCAACACTGCAAGATACATATTATTACCTTCAATTTATGATATTAAACTAATCATAGTAAGCACAGCCCTTTGTCTATTATGACTTTAGTGAATCTGGAAAGAATCCCATGAGTAAGCTCTATTACTCCTACAGGAATTAGTGTTTCCTCAGAAAAGACGTGTTCCTCCAATTAACCACATCTGGGGGTACATTTTCATATATTATGGAACCCTCTTGAGCATGAAAAAACATTGTTTTCTTTCTGATTAAAATATTAGGGAATAACAATAAGACAGTGATGGTGTGTAGAAGGCAGGGTAGACCAGTAGGCCAGTTCAGAGCCTTCTTCTCTGCTTCCCTCAAATAAAGTGAATAATCTGACGTTCTTGTTCGAGTTTTTGTGTTCTCTTGTTTCTAGTCTATGGGTCAGATTGGATGTTTTCACTGACTGCTTTAGTTGCCCAACCCCCAATGAATTTTATCTTTCTCAGGAAAAAGCAACAGTGCCATGGAGACATGAGACCACACAAGGAAATAAATAGCACTGATTTATCCATCACAACTGAAAATGTAGTCTTAAGCTGCCAATTAAATTCTATTTGGTACCCATAGCACTCAAATATTCTCATTGTAGGGCATATAGGACGCCCTACAGGACAGGACAGAGAGGCAACACTGCTGTCATATTTAGCAAACGCATTAGTCATCTTTAGTCCTTTTTCTAGATAATAAAAGGAGTTACTTCTCCTTACAATAGCCTTTGATTTGCTTGATAAAAAGCTTCCTACAACTTCTGAGGATCTCCTGATTCTTAACAAAATCTCTGCCCATCTGTCCTTTCTGTTTCCTGAATTTCACAGCTTTTGTTCTGTATGCATTTTTGTACTTTTACACAATATGATGAAAACCAGAATTAAATTTGAATTCCCAGAAACTCTGAAAGGAAGGACTGGAGAGGGCTCAGTCAGTAAAGGTCTTAATTTTTAAACATGATGTCTAGAATCCACCCCAGAAGAAAAAAGCCAGTAAACCCACACAGAGAGAGCAGAGAATGGCGAATCCCTGAGTTTAGCGGCCAGCAAATTTCACCTCCTTGTCAATCTCCAGGCAGGTGAAGCCCTACTTTCCCAAAAATGTAGATGACAATTCCTGAGGAAAGATATCACAGTTTGTCCTATTGCTACTACATGGACCTGGACACAATATATGTATCCATACACACAAACACATACACACCCAGAGAAGCTATTGGAAGTGGAGGGCTGCTGGGGCAGAGGAATTCATTGTCTTCAGTGATGTACTGCCTGAGTTACACATCTTCCTGTAGAAAGCTCCACACCAATGCCCACACTGGGCCCTACTTAAACCCAGTACAACAAAAAACAAAATAAAAAGACATAAAAATAGGATGGAGATTTAATGGGAAGAGAAGAGTAGGGGGAGTGTGACCAGAATCATTACACACACACACACACACACACACACACACACACACACACACACACCACACACATACACACACACACATATATATATTTTTCCTAAGGGAAACTAAAGTGAGAGCTCACATGGAATGGAAACAGCCAACAGACAGGAAGGTGAAGATGCAAAAGAGGAGGAGAGAAGGGTGTGAGCGGGATGAGAATTGGAAATATGAAGAACTTCCTTCCTTTGCACTATACACTTAGCATTAACTCTGCCTTGCAAAGGAAGTCTATGAACATGTCCTTAAAGCTATTCTTTGAAGCAACTATGGAAGAGGCTTCTGGAAAAATACCCAGGGTTGTTTCAATCTCTTTGAACATCCCTCATCTTCAAAGGAAACATGTTGTGCTTTTATAATTTTTATTTAAATTAAAAACAATCTTATTTTACATAACTTTCCTAGTTCCTTCTCCCTCCTGTCCTTCCATGCCCCCCACCGATCCCCCATCCAACCCCCATTCAATCTCTCCAGAGGGAGGGTGAGGCCTCTCATGGAAACATGTTGCTACATTGAAACAAGTATTGTTACTAACACTTCCCTCTGTAAGAAACCTGACATTTTTTTTTTCTTTTAGTGGAGTTACTAATATGTAAGCATGAGACTTGTAGTATATTGAGAATAAAATATCAAATGACTTGTTTTGTCAACACTGGTTAAACACCTGTCATATTTTAGGTTCTCTTGCTAGGCTACAAGATAGATTAAATAAATTCAGATCTCTATCAGTAATAAAGGCAGTTATGAGAATAAGTGAATGAGGATGACAGAACCCTGAGTTAGTTGAGATTCTGGAAAACTTCACAGGCCTTTTCTGGTCACTAGAAAAACTTAAAAATTAGATAAACTTAATGGTTTGTTTTTTAATCTGCCTGCTTCATGGCTATGCCATACAAGCTATGGCTCACAGAATTCTTGCCTTGGGAAGAGTGTAATCTTATATAGAAACATAAAAAATAAGATTTAGATATAATGATAGAACCAGGCAATGTCAGGAATCATTAACACCATGAAGAACAAAACTGAAGTAGTAAAAAATTCCAAAGGATTTCTTTAAGTACCAGGAAGTATTTTCTGAAATGATACAATGGACCATCTCGGACTCAAAGGACAAGTGAGAGGTAGCTAATGTGATGACCCATGAAACAAGTATTTCAGGATGAGGTAAAAAGCCAGCTCAAATTTTTCCAGACTGGTCCAAGAAGAAGCCATTCGGCACAGAATGCAATATGAAACAGGAAGAGTAATGAGGATTAACCTGAGTCAAAATGGCACAGCCCAGGTCATGTCAGACTTTTAATGTCTCAGAAAGGAGCCACTCAGAGTATCATAGGCAGAATTTGGGGATTCTAGCAGGAGCTAGAATCAGGGCTAGGATGAGCTCTGTCCATCTTTAGTCACCTTTAAAGTTTGTATGTGGATAAGTAATCAGGAGAACACTGGAGTGTGAGAAGGGTGTTGGAAGCTGTATTGTAAGCAGGCTGGGGAAAGATCAGATTTATCTGTGATATCAGGCAGGATGGAGACATTCTGTAGTGTCCATTATATTGTTTTTCAAACTTAACTTGCTGGTCATAAATTTAAAGCCTGAAACAGAGAAGTCACCGCCCTACATTAGGAAAACACTTTCTTCAGTTCTACTCACCCTGATTTTTCCCATCTGAAGAACACTATACTTGAGGCAATGGTCCCTTTCCATCACCACAACTTACAGGACTGTCAATCTTCCCTGTCACTTCAGGTAAATGAGGGCAGGGGTAGGGGGAACCCCT